TCGAATGATTTCGAATTTATGGTATTCGATAAGATTGAAATCGGCCGACACCATAAGATTCAAACAAATTCAACCGATTTAAAAAAGCTACAATTGGCCTGATTTGTTAGACACCCTCCTCCTATTTGAACACATTCGATAGGATTTTTCCATTTGGGCAAAACTTACCTTGGTCGAATCCAGCCGAATGTGTCCGAATAGTAGGTGTCGAACAAAACTTGTCTTCAACCTCCAATCCTTTTTTCATCTAAATCCTCCCATATTGGCCAATACCCATACCTAGATATGAAAAAAAAAAAAAAAAAAAAAAAACCACCCATTTTCAACATCTAAAGACTAGTGTAAGCTTAAACAACCATGAAAACAACAACTCATTAAAAAAATAGTTTGTTAAACATGTTTCATACACATATATGCAACATACTCAATGATTTATTATTTGGAACAACTTTCAAATTGTATAACTGACTTCTTCTCTCTTTTAAACCCTTTAATAACCCAATATATTGCTCAAATCCATCCAGCAACAATTTCTTCATATGACAAAAACAAGTCTTTACTTAGGATTTTAAGTTAAAGCATGGGTTTTTTTCTTTAAGTTTGGGGATTTGTCAATAGGGTTGATTTCATCCAAAAATGTGGCAGTAATACTACACCCACAAACCATTCTCACTAACTTTCTCTTACAAACACGATGTGTCAGCTTATAATTAGTTAGTTCGCAATGAGTCTTTGTGATACCCAAGATGTCAAAGGCATGTTCCCAACTCAAAATAGTCATTTAGATGTTAATTTTATGTTAAAAAGCATAAAATCTAACTAAGGGCAAAATAGTCAATTCATTTGGAACGGTATGAATCAATTATCCATAAAAAGGTATTAGGAGCAAAATAGTCATTTTACCTATAGATAAGCATTGCAAAAGTCAAGGATGAGTACGCTTAATTGCATTTAATTACATTAATTAAGTAATAATTATGTTTAGTGCCAAATTACCAAAATACCCTTATGCGAAGAATTAAGGACTTATGAGTTATACAATTAAAATAATTGGGCCGATAGCATAATTTTAGAAAATTAATGAAATATTTTTCTATAAATAAGAGGAAAATTCGTTCAAGCCAAGAGGAGACATCATTTCTTCAACCTTTCTTCCATTTTCTCTCAAATCCTCTATAAAACAAGCTTTCTCTCTATAAGTTTCAAAGGAGTTTTGCATAATTTTTTCAAGGAGAACAAGATAGGAGCCTTGGATCTTCAAATTGAAGAGTTTAAGGTAGGGATTAAAAACCCTAGTTTTGATGTTATTTGAAGATTTGAGGTAGACGTTGAGGTATAATGTTATATCTGTAGGATTAAGGTATAAAAGAAGATAAGGGCAAAGGATTTGGTGGGGGAATTCTTTAAAAAGGTAAGGAAGAACCTCCCATGACTATAGGGATTATGCTAGGGTTTGTAGATTTTAATAAAACCTAAAATTAAGGCTTTAAAACATAGAATTAGTTGATGGCAAGTGCAGTTGAACTCATTAATGTTATTTATTGTCTTGAATTCTATTCATTATACATGAAGTTATTGTCATTTATGTTTTATGAGTTGTTATATTTAATTGAAGAAAATGAAGTGTTGATGTTGATTGTGGCAAAACTTGTAGTATTGGAGATCATATGGTGTTGAATGGTTGCCATTAGAAGTGTTGATGTATTGTTTGCATTAACTTAGAATGTTATAGCAATGACGGATGATCATGGGAATGAGGTTTTACACTTCCTTTAAGATGTTAAAGACTATGAGTAATACTACACTTATAAAGAAATTTTACAAAGATCTTCATACAAAGTGATGTGACAAAAAATGAATGGAAGAGTGAATTTAATGAGTTTGACTTTTTGTTTCACTCTTCTATTCATTTTTTACTACCTCACAATATATAAAGAAACTAAAGACAAAAAACTAGAGAAAACAACGGAGCAAAACAGAGCAAAAGCGGAAGGAGGGATGTGTGTATCGAAGTCACTCGCTAAGTCCCTGAAGTGTACCTATTAAAGATCTGGAAAATCCAAAAATAGAAGATTTTATCGACACTAGATTTGTTGTAAAGAATTGAGTGCAACCTCCAGAGAATGCACCTGTTGAACATCAAGAACATTGTTCTGAAATAAAAATTACCTCTCCTCTTGTGGGCGGATGGCAAGTTCTTTAGTCATTAGAGTTAGTTATATCCAGGAGTCTTGTATTCGAGTCTTGGAAGAGGCAATTACTGTCGGCGTCCATCATCGGAATAGGCACGACCAACCTAATCTGGCTGACTGTGTGTCGATCTAGTCATTTTTGACAAGATCGATGGCCAAAAATGTAGGATGGAATACATGGAGAATGATGCATGTGATACTATAACATGTATATTCATATTTTGCGAAAAAAAAAAAAATTCAATCAAATTGAAAAACAAGTAAGGTATAACTTGTTACCTCAAGTCCTTAGCAACTTTGAAGACTTTAATTTCAGAGAAATTAAACAAAAGAGTATCCACACTAAGGTAAAAGAAGAATTAGGCCAAGAGAGACATTTGGGTTCTTAGAAATTTTGATCTTTACCTTAAAATTGACATATCATTTTCTTTATTATGTAGCTTTATAATAAAGAATTCAATAATTGTTTTAGACTTCCTTAACAATTCCATAATGTTTTTGGAGTTGTAAATAATTCATAATATTATGAAGTTGTTAAACTTCTTTAAATAATAACATTGGATTAACATTAATCAAATTAACAATTTAACTCTTAAATTATTTACATAACAATTTAACCCTTAAATTGTTCATATGTTTACAATTACAACCCATTATTAAACAATTAATATAAGAAAATGATTAATTATGAATTGGAATTCCATGAATTCCAATTAGCAATTAACTCTTAAATTATTCATAATAACTAATATAACCCTCCATGAATCAATTCAATGATAATAATTAAATAACTTATTACCCTTGGTATGTGTCTAGCCAACCTTGGATAATCAACTCTCTTTGGCTATTTCTCCATTCTCCTTAATTTTTATGTGTGACCTCTTAAGTTCACTGTGGCCTAATCATGGACCAATATCATAGTCTATTTCGATATGTTTTGTCATAAATCTTTATGAATAAAACTCCCACGATTATGGCAGACATCTAGCAATGCTTCATAACCCCTAAGTCACAATGAAGATATACTCTAACGAATCCTTTTATAATCATACGCACTGTATAATCAAATCTCTGTTGTCTAATCCCAATTAAGAATGGATTTATGGTATGTCAAAATCTTTATCTTAATTTTATATCAAACTGATAATCAATACATATGGAACATGTCACCATGTGAACAACCTTTCAGTAAAATTTTATATACCTGGTCAGAGATTCCTTTTCCAATATCTTGACATTATCTAGGAACTTGATATCAATCTAACCAAGTCAACGGATCTCAACTGACTATCACTGTCCTCACACATAAAAAAACACATGGCCAAATCGGCTTATTAACATAGACATGATTAGTCTCGTGTTATACACCATTGAACATATGCATTTATGCAAAATCTAATCGTGATATCTCAAGTCTAAGGATTAATAATACTAGTACGATTTTTGATAAATCATTGACTACATTTTAAATGTCCATGTGATTCCTAAATGGTTATATTCGATAAATAGTTCACTAACCGCGTATCCATGTTAATGCCCTAGTGATTTAACTTTTATAAACCGACACTAATACTATCAAGTGATATTCTACGGAGGTATTCAGCATGCCTACTATGTAATATTATTACCATAAAATTAATAATAGGGAATACTTTGATGATTTTGATCTTCTAAAGATTTATATCACAGACATTTCACATGTAATACATATATATAAATGAGCAAATTACATGTAAATAAGAACACTTTCTTATTGATAAGATAAAATGTATATACAAAATATATACATTACATTATATACAAACATAATGTCTTAGAACGACGACACGATTGGTTCTTAGGACATACACTAATAAAACTCTCACTTGCAGGTATGGCCAAAATGTTTAAGCTTATCATGGGCGAAATGACTCAAAATGTTTGTGTCAAATGTTGGGTCCGTTGGGCCTATGGTCTAGTTTATGGCCCAAAAATTGAAAGCCCAAATCCAACCAGTTTTTAATTTAATTTCAATTTAAATGCCCATGTTTTATTTTTTAGTAAAATAATCATAATTAATATGAAAAATTAATGCAAATGTCTTTAATATATGATTGTTTGTTAAACATAGGTTGCACCTAATTTCATTTAAAATATAATATTTAATAATAAATTTTATATCACAAACAATGTTAAATTAATTTGAAACTATTATATCATTTCCCACATTTTTTTACTTGTTATAAATTTTCCATTTTTATTTTAATAACTTAATTAAAGAAGATAAACTTAAAAAAAAATCCTTACCAATGAGGATGTGCCACATCATGACGTGTGGCGCACACGCGCACCCTGGTTCACTTGTTATAGGCATGTTGTACAGAAATACTAAGGCAAAACCAAGTTAAGCTTGAAGTTTCACAAAACTCAACTCTCAGATTAGAATTCTGATCGCAAAATTGAGAATAATCATCGGCCATCGATGTCTGTATTGTCTTTCACGCCACAACTTCAAGTCATGTCTGTCCCATACTCACTCCCAAACCAAAACCAAAGCCAAAACTCAACAAACTCAGAATTTTTCGCTTCAAACATTCGCAACTCCGCCTCACTGCCCTCTTTTCTGACCCTTTCGTGCTTCAATTAGTGATTCTTGAAGACTCTCTCCCTCTCTTCGCAGCCTCTTCCTCTCAGAAACTCAGAGACTTCTCCTCTCAAACCCTCCTCTCTACTCCTTGGCCCTCCCGTAAAGATGAGCCTTTTCGTATGACACTTCTCTCATTAAAAGTTCCCTAATTGAACCGTTTCTCACTCTGCGCAATTCCTTGATTCTTGGATGTTTCAGGTGATACCCAGTTCCCCAATTTTTTATTGATGGTTTTTGAAAGAGTCTGGTTGAATTTGTCAAAATTGCTAGAGGGTTTATTTAGGTAGTTTGCTAAGGGCTTCAGATAGAATTATGGAAAGGGTAAGTAAGTTTATTGGTGATTTTAAATGGGGTGATTTGTTTTGGTCAATTAATGGTATGGGGGCACCGGATTTAGGGGTTATTTATGTTCCTGCAGGATGTAAGGTAGAAATTCCGATTTATTTGAAGTATTTTTCGGTTGAGGGAGGCAATGAGGAGTCGAAAAAGTTGCCGATATCCAATCCGAGGGTGTTTGTGTTGGTTGAGGAGGGAGGAGAGGTTGGTATAGTGGAGGAGTTTGTAGGTAAAGAGGGGAATGCGTGTTATTGGGCGAATCCGGTTTTGGAGGTGGTGATTGGAGGAGGAGGGAAAGTTAGACATTCTTATGTCCAGAGTCAGTCTTTGAGAGCTGCTCATATCAAGTGGACTACAGTGAGGCAGGTAAATTCTTGTTATTGTTCTTGGTATTGCTAAGACTTAAATTTCTTTGAGCTTATAGATAATCAGTTCAGTTTGTAGAAGACTTTGAAAGTGAGTTCAGGATACATGTTTTTGGCTTAAATTTTGTTAATTTTTGTAATGTTAAATTGAGCATTGAACATGAAACAAATGGTAATATGGTCAATTTATGTCTGTGTTCGTGCTTTAGTAAGTTTAATGGATACTGAATGTCAACTTGAGAAGACCTCGATGGTCAGTTTCATCCTGTAGTTTCACCTAGGACTAAGTCTAGAACCTGCTTTCAGGTTTTGCTTTTCTGAAGTCTTTCTTCTTTTCGTGGAGACCATCTAATTTTCTTGGTGCTCCTTTGTCCAGTTTTATTTAATTAATTATATAATCTTGTCAATATTCTAGATGATGGCTAACATTCCCAAAGTATTGCATAAATGATTGCAATACTTTTCTTAAGAATCAATTATAATGGACTGAAGTATGGGTTCATGATTGGTCTTGTTGCCTCCGATTTGTCGACTGAAGTATGGGTTCATGATTGGTCTTGTTGCCTCCGATTTGTCGACTGAGGAAATGTTCAGGTTGTTCTTTGCAAGTGGTCAGTTGATTATAGGAATCTTCCCCTTGTCATAGCCTCATTACCTGTCTCTTTACTTGTCAATTCTTGAAACCATTTTGTACCTTTACGTTCTGTGATTTATTGAGCAGCAGTAAATTTATTCATCAATTTGCCATTTGTAGGAATCATCCAGTACTTATGAGCTTGTAGAGGTAAGCACTGGTGGAAAATTGAGCAGGCACAATGTCCATGTTCAACAACTTGGCCCAGAAACGGTAACAGAGGTGTCCACATTTCATTTGTCTGTCACTGAGCAAACACAAGATTTACATAGTAGCCTAGTCTTTGATTATCCTCGAGGTTATTCTCGACAACTTCACAAGTGTATTGTGGCCCATCCGCAAGGACAAGCGGTTTTCGATGGAAACGTAAAGGTCAACAGGTAATTTTGTTGCATGTCCCTTTTTATTGTAATTTTTGTACTTGGTAACATTATTTGATCGTGTGCCTGACTTTATGTGATCTAGGTATATGATCACATTTCTATTTTCCAGTTTACAAGTTACTGGTTTCTGACATAGGATCACTCGTTAAAAATTGATGCTAATGAATACCTGGAGAGGAAATGTCTGGCATTTGTATGGCTTATTGTCATATATCAATTATTTATTAGTTATTACTCCATTTATCTTGCTTGCTATAGTCTAAAGATAGTTTTGAGGATGTCAGTGGCATGCTGTTTGTGGTGTTTATAGCTCTACTTGAATTATGCAGATACGCACAACAAACAGATGCTGGACAACTAACGAGGAGTCTCCTCCTTGAACCTCGTGCAACCGTAAATGTAAAACCCAATCTCCAGATTATTGCTGATGATGTGAAGTGCTCCCATGGAGCTGCTATAAGTGACCTAGAAGAAAGCCAACTCTTCTACTTTCAAGCACGTGGTATTGACTTAAAAACAGCTAGAAAAGCTCTTGTCTTTTCCTTTGGAGCTGAGGTGATTGGACGTTTTCCTTACCCGTCTGTTCGAAAACAAGCTGAGAGCCATGTCAAACAACTACTGGAAACCGTATATGATAGTTCCTCATAGCGAGGGGTCATAGATGGTATATATATTCAATTTTGTTGTGTAATACTTTGTCATTGTTCAACTGAATAATAGTTGTTATTAGTTACACAATTCAGTCAAACTGAATTGCCCCATTTTGGTTCCCATGCAAATATAGAAAATGGAAGAGATTAGGAATTGTCGGAATATGAAATCGAAAATGGTTTATATGTATCTGATTCAGTTGTTTTAATATTGTCATTATTTAACAGAGATATCTTTACACTTACCATTGCAGCTGTCTAATTTTTCTTGATGTTATGAACTTACGCTGCTCAGATATACTGTAACAAAGCAGAGATGGAGCTTGCCACTAGTGTTTCTTCCTGTACAAGTGTAGCTAATGAAATTGCTGGAAGGAAACAAAATTTCTAAATTTGTGGGTTTTAAAGTTTCATGGCTTACTCTTGTGATTATCTTAGTTCCATTTAATATGCTAAATTTGGAGACGTTGCAGTAAGCTCTTGAATGCTTATTACTAAATAATTCAATCTTGTGTTGATACCGAGATATTTAGCAGATTCTGAAGCTTGTCAAGTTCAGAGTTTTCACCATGTATGTGACGTACGCCTTTGCCCAACGACACTCTTAATACTTGAGTGAGTATAGATTTTGCCAGCAAGACCACCCTAAAACTACAGCTATAAAACAAAATCCTCCTCCCAAAATCTTGGCAATGTAAACACTTTTTACTCATAATAAAGATGTTTAACGATACGAGTGATTTACGGTATCCCACATCGATTGTTTATAGATCAGTCTATTTCTTTATATAAAGAGTTGATCTTCCCCTTCAATGTGTTCGTAGAAAGGAGAGATGGTTGGCATCTCCCCTGACAGGGACGGGAACTGTCTTCGGACATTCTTGTTACCACACATCCGGTTAAGGCTACCCACCTTTGGTGGATCTCTAACCCAATTTTTTTTTTTTTTCCGAATTTTTTAAAAATAATTTTGAATTAAGATAAGGTCTCACGAAAATATCCTAAAAAGAATCACCTTACTCTTTACTCACTAACTATTTAAGCATCCTAACATTTTTCTTCAACCCCAAAACCTCTTTCTTCTTCTTTCCTTCACTCATGGCTGCTTCTCTCTCCACACCTCTAGATGTTCATCACACCGTACAAAAATCAGATAAAAGACGACCCGTTTTCTTCACCAAACCACAGAGAACTCACCGTGCTGTAAAATTCAGTGTTTGTTGCAGCTCCTTAAAAGCTCCATCAAAGTCTCAAAATGTACCAGACTCTCCAAACCCGAAGACTCCGTCTTTGTCTGAGCAACTCAAGCCTCTCTCCACAACCACTCTTTCTCCAACCAAGAATGACCAAATCCATCTTTTATCCAAGCCAAAGTCCACATGGGTTAACCCCACCAAGCCTAAAAGGTCTGTGCTTTCACTTCAGAGGCATAAGCGCTCCGCTTACTCGTACAATCCTCAGATTAGAGAGCTAAAACTCTTTGCACAGAAGCTCAATGACTGTGACAACTCTGAAGAAGCTTTCTTGGCTGCCCTAAATGAAATCCCACAGCAACCCACTAGAGAAAATGCTCTCTTGATACTCAACAGCTTGAAATTTTGGCAAAAGACTTATCTTTTCTTTAATTGGATAAAGACTCAGAATTTGTTTCCTATGGAAACTATATTCTACAATGTTACCATGAAGTCTTTGAGGTTTGGGAGGCAGTTTCAGCTCATTGAGGAGCTTGCAAATGAAATGGTAAGCAATGAAATTAAGCTTGACAACATTACTTACTCTACTATTATTACTTGTGCCAAAAGATGCAATCGTTTTGATAAAGCGATAGAATGGTTTGAAAGAATGTATAAAACTGGTTTAATGCCTGATGAAGTTACATATTCTGCTATTTTAGATGTTTATGCTAAATTAGGTAAAGTAGAGGAAGTGTTGAGTTTGTATGAGAGAGGGGTAGCTACTGGGTGGAAACCTGACGCCATTACATTTTCTGTGTTGGGGAAGATGTTTGGTGAAGCAGGGGATTATGATGGCATTAGGTATGTTTTACAAGAAATGAAATCTTTAGGTGTGCAGCCTAATTTGGTTGTGTACAATACATTGTTAGAAGCAATGGGCAAGGCTGGAAAGCCTGGTTTGGCTAGAAGTTTGTTTGATGAAATGATTGAATCAGGTTTAACCCCGGATGAGAAAACTTTAACTGCCCTTATCAAGATTTATGGCAAGGCTAGGTGGGCTAAGGATGCTTTAGAATTATGGGAGCGAATGAGGGAGAATAGGTGGCCGATGGATTTTATTTTTTATAACACATTGTTGAATATGTGTGCGGATATTGGATTGGTTGAGGAAGCAGAGAAGCTGTTTGAGCATATGAAACAGTCGGAGAATTGTAAGCCGGATAGTTATAGCTATACGGCAATGCTGAACATATATGGTAGTGGCAGGAAGGTTGATAAGGCAATGGATTTGTTTGAAGAGATGCCTGAGCAGGGGGTTGAGATCAATGTGATGGGGTTTACTTGTTTGATTCAGTGTTTGGGAAAGGCTAGGAGGATTAATGATTTGGTAAGAGTGTTTGATGTCTCTGTTGGACGCGGCGTTAAACCGGATGATAGGCTTTGTGGGTGTTTGCTGTCTGTTATGGCCCTGTGTGAGACCAGTGAGGATGTTGACAAGGTGATTGCATGTTTGCAGCAAGCTAATCCAAAGTTGGTTGCCTTTGTCAAATTGATTGAAGACGAGAAAACCGACTTTCAGATCATCAAGGAGGAGTTTAGGACTGTCATTAGGGACACTGCGGTTGATGCCAGAAGACCATTCTGCAATTGCTTGATCGATATTTGTCGAAATAGAAATCTCCATGTGAGAGCACATGAGCTGCTCTATTTAGGAACCTTGTATGGTTTATATCCTGGTTTACATAACAAAACTGGGGATGAATGGAATCTTGATGTGCGATCACTCTCCATCGGTGCAGCTCAGACTGCCCTTGAAGAGTGGATAGCGACGCTGGAAAAAACAGTTCAACGCAAAGAGGAATTACCGGAGTTGTTTTTGGCTCAAACCGGTACAGGAACTCACAAATTCTCACAAGGTTTGGCCGCAGCCTTCGCGACCCACTTGGAGAAATTTGCAGCACCATTTAGGCAAAGCGAAGAAAGAGCTGGTTATTTTGTGGCAACTAAGGAGGATTTAGTTTCATGGGTGCAAGCAAGAATGCACCCTTCTGTTACCCGCATAAATTCCAAATTAACTGTAAAATGTTGTAATTTTTAGTTTCACAGTTTTTTCATTGAATGGAAGTAATGAGAAAATGATTTCTACAAAAGGAATCTGAAAATGAAATTCCAACTTTGTAAACCGCATGGGTGGAAATCCACCTTCAAAATTACAGACGCTCACCTTTCATTAGGAAATGCTCAAAGTTCAGTAAGTATAACTGTACCCCCCCAACCATACTACAGACTATTTCTTTTTCTTTTTTCTCTGCCTTGAATAGAAAAGAAAAAAATAAAAGGAAGGCACCTTGGAATGTTAAGAGCCTCCATCTATGCAAATCTCTAAGTAAAGCAAAAGTCTAAAAGAAAAAGATTGAAAAAAAATTAAACAAAATGAGTTCTTTCTTTCCTTTTTGTCCCTAAAGAGCATTTCCCAACAACCCTTCCCTTTTTTTCTTTTTTAATCCTGAACTGAATTTTCAGGCATCTACTCAACTCTTGATGACTACCTAACATTAGTCTGCCTTTGTCATTTGAACTTCCCCCTATCNCATGTAGTTGCGAAATCGCTGTCACAGAAAGTGTGGGCGTCTAAATTTTTAGTTAGTCGCGGAAATTTTTTTTTTTTGCAAAGCAAATTAGTCGCTAATTGCTGGTTAAAATAGTCTCCCCCCCTAGACGCTAATTGTTCAAGGGTACTTTGGTAAAATAGTATCGCGATTAATCAATTAGTTGCAAAATGTATCTTTTCGTGTCTAATAATTTGTCGTAAATGCCACAAAAATTAGACGCTAAAAGTGTGAGGGTAATTTCGTAAAAAAATTTCGCAACTATTTTATTAGTAAACGAATGTATCTTTTGATGACCAAAATTTAGCGGTTAATTCTAATACTTTGACACTGAATATGAAAACCAAAAGGTTTTCACGACTATTTATTAGTGGTCGAATGTATCTTTTAGTGACCAAAATTTAGTAGTTAATTCTAATAATTTTAGACGCTAAATGTAAAATCCAAAAGGTTTTCACGACTATTTTATTATTAAACGAATGTATCTTTTAATGACCAAAATTTGGTGGTTAATTCTTATAATTTTAAACGCTAAATGTGGAATTCAATTATGATAAATTACTGTTTGCAATTAAAAAATTAATTGCAAAATATGTTTTTTTTTTAGAAAATAATTAGTGGCAAAAGCATTTTGTATTAACCTAGTTTATACATTCAACATCAACAAAATAATCCATCACAATATAAAAATCTGAACACTAATATATATATATATATACTTGTCAAAATATATATTGCCTATACAACAAAAAACTAACCATCAATATCTAGAGCATCTCAAGTGTCACCAGTTGAGGTTTTCGAAATAGTTGTAGTTGATAAGGACGAGTCTTTAGCAATTGGAGATGGCGATGGTTGTCGAGTTGGAGCTTTATCAGATTGTTGTAGTTCAAGGGCTATAGTTAGCTGCTGCATCATCTCCAACAGGACAAATTGTTGTTGTTCAAGGCTTTTTACTTTATGTTTTTGTTGATCAACTAAGACGAGTTGCTCCTCCAACTGTTTAATCTTATTTTCTTCTTGTTGTACTATGCACCTTAACTCTGCTTCTGCTGCAGTATCATGATGCTTAGTGTGTGAAAATTCAAAATTTTGATTAAATCCGAAAGCTTTACCCAGAACTTTCTCACATATTTTTGCTTCTGTTTTTTCACTTTCCCCTGTTGGTGTTTCATCTTACAGCTCTATCATTTTTTCCTACCATCAATTCAATGCATAATCAATAAGTCAATAATTACATATACATTATAATTAATAAGTCAATGCATAATCAATAAGTCAGATAACCATGAATAAATTACTCGAAACCAATCACGTTAATAATATTAAGAAGATAACTAAAATTACCTGTTGTAATGCAGAAGAAAAACGACTAAAAATTATGCCAGAACGTTTACATTGAGAAATAGTTGACAAATGGCTTAATATTGACATGGAAAAAGCTTTGATACTATTTACTGTGGAAGAAACACCCTTACTTTCAGAGGTTAAATCTCATAATTACTTTTCCACATTTTGTACAACTGGATGATTATTAGCATTTAAAGAAATAAGCAGAAAAGAAAAAACATTTTACCAGCTTTGTCAGCTGCATGGAAGAGCAGCTCCTCTATTAGGTGCTGTGCAGGATCACCATCTGGAAACTTCTCCATGAAACTCTCAACATTTGAAACCACTTCCTGATTGGTCAGATACTGATATAAGCCATCGGATGAGAGGATCAAAAATTAATCTCTTGGGCAGAGTCTATGGTGATGAAGAGAAGGCGTGCAGGATATGTATGGAGCAGTTCCAATATACTCATTTCGAAACATTTCCAATAATGAATCGTTCAACTTGGGCTGCACCAAGATGCCATGATATCATTGAGCAAGTTTTTAAAACACACCATTGGATAAAACAATACACTGGGAACTTCATCAATTGAAAAAATGAAACATAAGTGTAATGCTCAAGTGTGGTTTTGTAAGAGCAAGAATGCATAAATGAGTGAAGCATTAGCAAAATCAGTGATGATATTCTTGTGGTTTGTTAGAGCAAGGACACATATATTGAAACATTAAAATAATAAGTACAGTAATGATATTCGGTTGGCTCACATGACACAGCATACAACAGAAATGATATTTTTATGCACTGATAAAGGTGACCTGCAACTTGAATCATTTCCAATGCTATATACAGCATTTCCTCTATCACAACACTTTTAAAAGATATCCAAAAATTACAACATTTTAATTTATACACTGCATTATCTGTAAAAGCCAATATGTCTTGTCCATATACCGTAGTGATGAATATTATTCATGAGGATATAATTTACTAGAACATAGCAAGCAATGAGCACCTATAACGAAGATATATGCTACCATGATGTACAAATCACCAAACAGTAATAATTATCAACCAGAATTACTTTTTATCAGAAATCCTTGCAACAAAATAGTTATTACAAAGGATATACGACAAACCTTTTTCAGAAATCCAGCTCCAAATGCTCTGGTAACCTTAAGACGACCTTCCACTCTATCATTGACAATACATTGGCTATCATCCGGGTGTTCATTCTCTATTCTTATGATTTCCTGCAATATTAGTGCAAACCAAAGTTCTTAGCAAATCTACATTACTTCCCTTCATTAACAAGATCATACAGTTAGTTTAAGGGTAGAGATAACCATACTTGGCGGTGAAGGGCCAGCGGGACGGCCAAGGAAAAGAAGAAGGGCAAGTAGATTGAATATTTTATCATTAATGAAAATATACATGCAAGTGCAATGACACATTTGGATCGGACATTATCATCTTAATATGAAGCAAGCAATCCATTAAAGTTGAAACTTCATGGAAAAACCAAATGTTATCAATGAATTTCATTTGTCACCAAGTGAGCATAACTACTCTGCAATAAGCACAGGCTGACTCAATATTGAGAAAAAGTCCATGCTAACCATTTTGGTTCAATATCATGTGTACATAGGGTCTGCAAACACTAGACTTTGGGAGCACATCAGCGTGTGTGTCAGAGAAGCAGCAAGGAAGAAAAAAAAATGGAAAGTTTATAACAGCATTCATCCTGTTTCCAGTATACAGACAACTGCTCAGGCTTCCCAGTGAAAAAGAAACAGGGAACAGATGACAGAACTCCACTTCAAACAAAAAAAGAGAAAAGCAAGATTGCAATTTTGATTAATCTAATCTAGAAAAGTTCACCATACAGTCAAAATCTTCAATACAACCAAAAAGATATAGCAATGAGCCATATATAATATTTATATACACGAATAAAAATGATCAATCAAGCATACCATCAGAAGAACAAATTAAAATGTTTAAGACAAATAATTAATGCTGTCAGGTTGCCAGCAAGCTATGATGTGTAACATTCAAGTATTATCTGCACTACCTTAGTAATTCATTCTCAAAACCAGACCTTCATGATAGAAGATATGCTATAGATTATAGATGCACTCAGTTCTGAGCACACAGCATTCTTTTCATATAATGTTGCAAAGTTTGGAATATTATTAAATATCATAATTATAACTTGGCTTACTGACTTACATCCTCCAACGCTTCCCGAACTAGGCACTAAATCACTACATATATCTTGGCACACAAGATACTTCCACACATAATAATAATTATCGAAGTACAACATATTGGACCAGACACTACTATCCATTGTGTTAACACACTCCCCAAACTACAGATGTCAACACGACACAGAATGCCCACAAGTATTGTCAGAAGTCTTCCGGGAGAGTCACTATCCTAGACTCACCTGATTACATGTCTGATTACATAAAATATAGTGCAACATACCTTTGACATCACCTAAGGGAAGCAATCATCAGATAAGACATATTCTCAATCACTGAGATACAAGTAATATTTTAAATTAACTAAATACTCTTCTACAATAATACATTCATACTTTTGGGCATATTAAAGGATTCAAACACCAATCATACCCCACCATCTATAATTCTGACAATATCATACAATATTCCCACTATAAACAGATCCACATCCCTATGTTATTAACCTATTAACAGCAATAAGCCTGTGCAATACCAAAGGACTTCCTAATGTCCTAGAAATTCATATTTAGAAAAGTCTGAAACACAATAGCTCCTGGCACCCAACATGTGTTACCTAAGTCATGAGAAACAAGGTTGTTACTACATACTCGAACCATAAAGCCACCGCCAAAAGGCTTCTTTTCAACCAAGAGTTCTTCCACCATCTGTTAATAAACTATCCTTCCGTATCAGAGCCTCTTCAGCATTAGGGTTCCAAACAGTAAGAGACTTTATTAATTGCCATTTGAAGGGGATTCAACTAAAATTTTTGCAAACATTTCTTACCCTCTTAACTCAGAAAATTTCAGGAGGCATTCAAGCTTGATTTCAGTACCTGAACTAAGATGTTTTCACAACCCTAGATTCCATAAAAGTTCTCATCTTTCCAACCACATGCATTATTTTAAAAACTGAAATTAGGATTTCATGACACTCACATAGAAGCTGTAGCTTGATTTCTCATTACAAACACTCTTCCATGAAAACTCTTTAACAATTATCATTTATCATCTTAAGAGGTCTTAGTAAGATCATGATACAACACACAGAAATATGAATTCGCAAAATCCCAAGGGTTCATTTACTGTAACACTGCATCAGGCATCTCTACTATAAAATTATACCATCCCATAAGCATAAGACTAAGGTCAACCACTTCAGTAATAAAATTATCCTTATCTCATAAGCATAAAACTTTTCCTAGAAGATGCTCCAAATCCTTAGTGGTGGTAGTCAAAGAATAAGAAGCATAAGAATCATAGAGGATTTGTTTCAAGGAATGAAATATATATTTAATAATTTAAGTAACACTGCCAATTTCCATCAAAATGTGTAGACCCATGTACATAAATGCCAACAAAAAGTAGAAAATGCAGACACAAAGTCGTACACTTTAGCTTTCTAGAAAAAAATCGTGATCTACCAAGTACACTTCCAGATAGCAGAAAATTAACATCGCTCCGTTGCTTCTTGTCAGCTTAATAAAACAGCAAAAAACCTGAGGGTATTGCATATACACTGCAAAAAAACCAAGAGTATCTAATAGGTATACAAATTTCTGAATCAGTATTTCCTAACAATTTTGAACACCAACCTGTTTACAAGGTAAAATAAGAGTTTGTATGCCTCCAAACGCACAAAGCTCAGAGACATTAAGCTTCAAGATCAATTCCAAAAAAAGCATATTATCAAGTAAAACGACTCCTACCAATCACAAAGAAACAAACAACATGTTCAGGAGGAACTTTACACTAATCAATCGAACTGACTATCATGATGTAATATAAGTGTGTGAATGAGAGCTAAAGTGATGAATTCATGAAATGCAGAATAAAACAATCTAAGTATGAAAGTTTTCAAATACTAACTTCTTCAATGCTGGTGCTGTGATCAGTCGAAAGCTGCAATGCAGTCAATTTCATTCGTTGGGCAGAAGCCTCATTTGTCCTCACCTTACTTCCCCTTTCATCCTGTGTCACTGGCAATTCCTCAACTATACCCTCCATACTTGACCCATTGCCCCCAGGCCCTTTCATCCCCACACTACATTCAGCTGCTTCAGGCTGAAACTGTGCTACAATTGCCCTACTATCACCCACATTCATCACATACACATCCTCATCCCTCATCAACACAACCAATAAACACGAACCCATCAATGCTAGCTCCGGATTCGTATCAAGAACCTTATCCGTCATATCCAAGTATGCAAGCTCAGTCAATTCTAGAGCTCGCGACATCGCCTCCAACACCAATTCATGATCAACCGGGCCCTCTTTTCGCTTCTTTCCACTCTTTGCAACCTTCTCCTCTACTCTGTTCTCATCTAATCCAACCTTCTCTTTCTCCTCCAATCCAAACCTCCACGGAAACAATGATTTCCTCCCATAACCAACCTCCTTATGCTTTGTCAACAACCCTTGTTTCAACTTTGACAACAGCAACCATCTCCTACTCGCAGCTGAGCTCTCCTTGTTGACACTAATGGCATCATCCACTGAAAATGCAAACCTCTCTGACCCAGAAAGATCCAATCCATCTTCGGTGTCCTCCTCGGCCAAAAATTCCCATAGTCTCCTCCTCCTATTTTCTGTTCCCTCTGATTCAAAAGTCACTTTTTTAGCTCTCTCTATATCTTTCGTTTCATTTTCATTACTTAAAACCACTGGGTCAATTTTAGTTTCAGTTTCCTGAGTATTATCATCATTTGCATTCTTGATTTCATCATCTGGCTCCTCAACATCCCAAAATAAACCTTGTAACTCATTATAAACAGCTCTATAAAGATTACCCATCAAAAATTCGGGCGCATCCGGACCATTGAAACCATCATAAATTCCAACGAACATCCACCCCTGTTCTTCGGATACCACCACGTGCACACGATCTTCACCGGCCTTACCCAGCGCCCATTGAACATTATCATTATTCCTCTCGTTTTTTGCCACGTCAGCAGCCTCCTCGTCCAAGTTGTTGTCGTGGTGACTGTGGTTGCAGTCCTTTCTAGAAACGAAATTCAGTACCGGCACCACCCACGGCCGTTTCTTCTCGTAAAACGCTTTCCGGATTCCCGAAATCCCCAAAATGTTCCTCTTCTTCTTCCTCTTTAAGTAAATGCCGCCAAGCGGAGCAGAGAAATGGACATGGCCACCGGAGTCGGAGCAGCCGGTGTTCTGGTCCAGTGGGCCCGACAATGCCCCGCGCTCCAGCGGGCCAGACAAGAAGAACGGGCCCCGCTCGGAGGCATCGTAAGCACCGCCACGTGGCATCGGCTGGAGAGGTAAAGCACTAAACGACGAAGTACTCTCGAAACCACTGACATTCACAATACTGCTCTTCACACCATAACCACCGGTAAACGTAGTCTCAGTGGCATCGTCGTAAATATTGTCAAGTTGGAGGACAGTTCTGGGAGTAGAAGTATTGGCACTAACCGACGCTCCGGAAATGGCCTTAAACCCTGTCTCGGGCAGCGGGCCACGCTGTCCGGGTCCGGAACGGGTCGGAGAAAAACGGAGAGAGTGTGAAGGAGAGACAAAGCGATCGGAAGGAGTTGGCGAGATAAAACGGTTAGAGGATCGGACGTAGCAGAAGGAGTGTCCAAGAGTCTCATCCAAGGGTTCAGACGAAGCGAAGATCAGGTCCGGTTGGTGAGCCTGTTCCGGTTGGTGCGTGGTCCGGTTAGTTCGGTTAACCGGTTTGATACAAGGGAAGAGGTAAGAGAGTCCACTTCCCATCACATTTGACGCACACCCCGTGGTTTTGGTTCGGTTCGGTTTCCTGTGTTTGGTTGCCGAGAAAATTTGTTTAAAGAGGCAAGCAAGTGCAAGTTTTTCTGGCAAAGTTTGAAAAAGAAAAGAAATAAAAAATAAAAAAATAATTAAACAAAAAGAAAAGAAAAAAAAAAAAAGAAAAAGAAAGTAACGCAAGACAGAAGAGAGAGAGAGAGAAAGAGGGAGTGAAAGAGAAGAGTGTTTTTTTTATATTTCAGCTGAGTAGACTTATTTTTATAGCGAGAGAGAGACTGTGTGTTTTTTCTTGTTTTTGTTTTTGTTTTTTTTGTTTTTCTGTTGTTGGCTCATGGTTGACGGTTACACCTGGCGTTTTGCAGAGGGAGAAGAGAGGTGAGAGGATGCCACATAAGATGCCAAGTCAGAGTTGGTGGTAAGAAATGACGGAAAAGTCCATGATTGGCTTTTAAGGAAAATAATAGGGTCAAAGTGGGAAACAGAGGTTGAATAAAGAGTTTTTCTTTCAGGTTTACTTCTGTCCTTTTACCTTGTTTGGTCAATGGAACTCCCTGTTTGGTAAGCTCAAGGCTAGGCCCAAAGCCCAATTCCGTTGACGCTTTCTTTGTTTATTTACAATAACACCCTCAATATTTTTTTTTAAATTAATTTGTTTTTATGAGTTAATAGGGATTAGATTCCCCTCATTAAAACAACACCTGTATAGATTAATTAATTAATTCTACTATTAATGAAGGTTGAAAGTTGTTTGGAAAATATTTATGAACCTAATAAGATTCATAAATAGATATAATAAGTGTTTAAAGTCCGAGCCACTAACAACATTTTCTTTTATTTATTAATAACATGGACCATAAATAGTCAGAAAAAACATTGATGAAACTTTAAATCATAACGCTCTCCTACTTAAATGCATGATTTTACCACATTATTTTTATATATGGAAATGGGCGGATATACCAAAGCGTAGGGAAATTACCTAAACTAGAAAGACCTACCTCCGATCCAAGTCATTACGGTCGGGTACGGCTCGAACCTACCCTTGTTACAAAATGCAGTTAGAAAATAAACTTGGACCAAGTCCGAGTCAAAGCCTAGATCTTTGGTTGGAACCGAAACCCGACTTATGACATGGGTTTTCACTTAAACCCTTTTTTTTTTTTTTTTTAATTGTTTTAACATAATATTTGTTGGCGGATTTGTTACAAGTGGACACTATAGGGAGAGTCGTCTATTTGGCATCGATGCGTTTATATATGCATTAAAAAACTCCTTATATATATTCACTATTGATGCAATTACGGGCGTTCAAAAAAATACAAAAACCCAACCGAACCGAAAAAATAGTTCGAAAAATTCAAAAAATCGGATTTTCAGTTTGGTTACCGGTTCAGAAAAAAATAAAAAACGGTTAACCGAAACTAGTTTTTTGGACCGGTTATATATATATATATATATAAATAAAAATAAAAATATATATTATATATTAAATAAAAAAATAATTTCATTTCAGACTTTTATTTGTATCAATTTTTAATATATTGTTAGTAGTGGTCAATAGATATGTATGAATGTTTAATTTTTATTTGGATATGTATTATTTATATTTACAATTTAATTTAGAAAAAAAATAAAAAAAATTATAAAAAAAAGGGAAAACCGGTAAACTTCTTTTTTTCAAATGGTTAATCGATTTGGTTCAAAAATTTTTCCGACCCGAAAAACCAGTTCGGTTCAAAAAAGTGGTTAACCAATTCAGTATGTTAACCGCTTATTAAGATAGATCATATGAAAATTTGCTAACAACAAATTGGTAATAGACAACTCATAATAATATTTAATTTTTTAAATCATCTAAATTGGGCATTAAAGTATGTTATATAATAGTCAATGGTAATGTTGGTGGACGAAAGAAGAAAATTTGATAAATGAAGAAAAGAATGGTGGTTGTAATTGTTAGTAGTGGACCAAATGGTAATGAGGTGGTTGCATGATGGGTAAGTGATAATGTTTTGAACAAGGATTTAAATTCAAATTCAAATCAAATTAATATTTTATCTTTATAATAACATTTAAGTCCAAAAATAAAATAAGAAAAACCCCTTTATATGATATAGAATTTTATTGTCAAAAAGTTAAAATACAATTTTTATAAATATAATAGGTTCAAATTAGTCAAAAGACCTAAAATTTTAAAGGGGGTGGCAATCAATAGCGACTAGTGAGCAATTTAAATTTGAATTGTATAAAGATTATATTATAAAATTGAGGTCTTTCAATTTTCAACTACTAATAACCTAATTGGTAAATCTTCAATCAACTTTATCACCTTTCTACCACAAAATTTAAATACAAAAATTAATGTGACAAAGTCAAGGTTTGATGAAGATTTGTGTTTTATTATATACGGGGTACTTTTATTTTATGTTAATTAAAAGAATTTTATTAGGGGTAATTTCGTCATTTAAGATGGGCCAAGAAAAAGAAACCCAAAGGTAAAACTAAAAATAAAAAAGGATGAAAGAATGACTATCCTACCCTTGGGGGCGGATCGTGGTCGGGTATCTTTCATGTTGCCACGTCATCATACGGGACAAGAATCAGAAGATAAGACACATTGAAAAAACGGAGGGTGAGGATTGAATGAGCGGAAAATTGCAGGAGTATCTGATTAGTCAAAGCGCACGAATTCCTCTTCGCTCATGGTTTGTCGTAATCCCAAACTTTAATAAAATAATAATATCTAAAAATAATAATAAAATAATATTTTTGGGAAGTCGGGAGGGAGGGGGAGCTTTTCACACTTAGTCAAAAAACCCCACTTTAATAATTAAAGAGGAAAAATAATAAAATAAAAAATGGGAAAAAAGAGAGAGAGAGAGAGAAAAGAATTAAGCATGTGAAGGCGGGAAAATCTCTCACACACTGCAAGTCAAAGAGTTTGTTGGTTTTTCAGAAATTTTGTGAAACAAGACGACAAACGCAATATTAACTCTCACACCGTACGTGTGAAACTCAAACCCCACATTCTCTTTCTCTTTTATTTTTTTTTATTTTACATTATCACCTTAATTACTATATCCATAGATCTATCTTCCCATGGTTTACACGTTAATATTGCAGAATGATTATTAAGTATATGCACATATAATTATTTAATATTAATTTTATTATAATCATACTATATATTATAATTATCCTGGATATTCACTCGACTTAAACCCTACTTTTATAAACTTTTTTTATTAATTTTTTCTCACTAATGCGACATGATAGTTCGTAATTGGTTAGTTCATAATAAGTTTTACCTACCCAATAATAGGTTTTGTCTGATTGATTGAGAGCTGTCACGTCACGTTTGAGAGAAAAAACTAATGGGAAAGGTTTGTCAGTCTATTTTTATTAGAAGTAAAAAACTAAAAATGATCGATTGTTAACATTAAGAGACTTACATATATGGATGGACCTACTTAGTTATAAGGGGGGGTTGGTGACCCCACTCAAACAAATAACTTAGTGTTTATCATCATCTAGCAGGACCAGCACAAGGGTTTGCAACTATGTGAATAGAGTTAATGACTTTTTTTTCACCCAAATAATGGTTTAATTATATTTTTTCACTCATAGACTCTTAAAATAATAATTTATTACCTAAATTTATATCACGTTTTCGATTCCGAGATCGTTGTGACCCCATATCACCATCATTCTCTTCATCAATCATTACTCACCAAAACCCCTTGAACCCTACCCCCACCAACCCCGCCAATCGTCGGCAATTGAGTGATTACGGTTTGCGCAGCTGCCCCTCTCAAGTCAAATCTCGATCAATCTCAACCACCAAAATACTCATCGGTTTCTCCTCTTCAAAAGCATCAACAGTCTTAACCGAGTTTAGTCTCTGTTCACCATCGGAATATAAATTTGGGTATTAAAGAAGTATTTTAAAAGTTTGTGAATGGTAAAGTGTCATTAAACCATTATTTAGGTGGGAAAAAGCCGTTAACTCGTGAATATTACCTGTTTTTTAGATTAGCATGTAAGTGTTACTTTTTTGTGTAACATTCGACATCACTTAGGAAGGTTAAGAAAATATTAATAAAATATATTGTGAACTCTCGAGCTGTCAAGATGTGTTTTGGGTGAAACATGCTTGCGTGAAGTTTAAAAGCAAACCCGTACGGGTATATGAAAACTCAAAGTGGATAATATCTTGATAGTGAATCGAGATGTTACGTTTAAATTTTAGATTTAGACTCTTATTTAATAAGAGGCAAGCATAGAATTCTTTATGGGAGGTGCTTTAACAACTCCCATGAAGAAGAGGATTTTACTTGTTTAATAATCAAAACCTTTTTTTTTTAACATTATTTAGATTTGTTGTCTCTTTCGTATAACATGGTTTTGTAACATAATCTTAATGATTATTTAATAATATAAATGGATAAAAAACTTATTTAAATTTTATTTTGTGAAATTTTTATATTTGAAATTTATAAGTTCCAAATTACTTTAATTAAATTCAAATACAAGTAAACAATTTCAACATAATCGGACCCACACATACTATATTGAATAGACATTCACAACATAGTAAAGTTACCTTAATTCAAAATTTTAAAATTTTGAATGAAGTTCAAAAAAAAAAAAAAAAAAACTCTTAAAAATGAATGAAGAAAGAAGGAAAAATAGATAGACTTTAAATTTATTCAATAAAAAAAAAAAAACCATCAATCTTTTCAGAATTTAAATTAATTTTTTGGACAAGAAAATACATCTACTACCTGAATGGAATATTTAAAAAAATATATATTTCTATTAATATATAGAATAATTAATTAATATTCTGTTATTTGTAAGTAAAAGCTTTTGAAAAATGTTGGGCGATGTGGGGCCAAAAGAAATCAGACGGTCAACCAGGGAGGACATAATCCTGATGTGTGGGTTCCATGGACCGTTGATTTTGATTTTTATATCACCTTTGTCGGATTCCCCTTTCAAGGAAAATAAAACAAATTATTTCATTAAAATCAATAAAAGAAATTTCATATTAAATACTATTACATGTATATTGGTAATTCGATAATTAATATTTTTAAAAATCTAAAAAAAAAAATTAATTGAAGAATTATGAAATCACTCTAATTTTTGTATATTTTATAATTAGTCTAAAAAAAAAAAAAAAACCAAACTTAATAAATTTAAAATATGAAACAAAAATATAAAGTTAGTTTAAGTGAATATGCAAGACTTTATTGTACAAGACTTTTAATTAATTAATTTTGATGTCTTAATCACTTATCCATTCGTAAAAGTTAGACAAAAAGGATCAAGTGGTATTTAATCAATTAACTAAATATGATTAGTTAATTAATTAATTAACTTCAAAATCAAGTAATTGACTCTATATTTGACAAAATTAATTAATTAGCGTAGTAAGTGCATATTTGGGGGAAGAACCAACTACATTGTTACATTTATTCTATGTCCTTTCAAGTATTTTTCTAAGAATATTCATCAAATTAATTAACTTTAATTACCCATCACTCAATTTAAATTTTAAACTAACCCAAAACATTCACTTTCTTCGATTACTTGTACAAATAGAGATCAACTTACGTTTGGTTTTGACAATTTTTTTTTCTTCCTTTTTTATATTTGTAGTCATTTTCTGGTGTGGACGTTTTTAAAGCATATCAAAACCTAATAACCGAACATCGACTTCACAAAACATCTACACTTAAGAATTTTTGTTTATTTTATGTATGAAAATTCTCATGTTCATACATCTTGAAGGTTTGTATATAATAATTTTGCGTATTTTCTTAGAGAACGTATTAAATTAAATTAAATAAATATATGAGATTGAACATGAAATTTCTCGTTGGGTTCTTATTTGTTGACTCTATCGGCTTCTAAATTAAGATGTTTTGAAATAGATAATTAAGAATAAATAATATGTATAAATTTATTTGGTAAATGTGAAGATTTATGTATTGCATGGGTTTAAGAGAAGAAGAAAAAAATAAATAAAAAATGCATTGTAATTAGTATAAGCACATGGTTGACTTGGTTCGATTTAAATGTAACGTGCCGTCAAGAATTGGCTGTACAACCACCTTTTTTATTTATTTTAATTAATTAATTATTGTTTCTGAAAGTTACAAATTAATTTTTTTTTATTAAAATTGTTTTATACCAAAATACAAAATGCTATAATATTATGGGTTATTTAAAGAATATTTTGAAAATTATTGGGATGAAATTAAGTCCATAATTCAATGAATACCATGGTTTTAAAACCTGGCTTGGTCGGGCCGGTTGAATTGGTTCGATTGAGAACCGGTGGCTAGATTGAGTCAGTTAATGTTAAAAACCAAAAATAACAATTGACCCACTTCCACTCGCGGTTAAATTCGTTTTTTTATAGCGAACCACCGGTCCAACCGATATAACCCAGGTTGCTACAATAAAATATAAAAAATAATATAAAATTAAAAGTAACCCTTTTAAGCTTTTCTCTTCTCCCTTCCCTATTTTTATTCGACAAAACCAACACCAACAAGGATAAAAAAATAAAAATAAAACCCATTAAAAATAAAAATTTGCATTTTTTTTTTAATTTGCTGACATCAGCATGATGCCATCATGCTGATGTCATGATCCGACCCATCGGTCAGACCATTCGACCCGTAAAACCTGTGACCCGGTGGCTTGACCGGGTTGCCCCGGTATGGTTTTAAAACCTTGATGAATACTTTATGGAAAAGCATAGAATTTTATTTAATAGACAAATTAAACGTTCTAAAATTCAACACCAAAAATACTGTTTAAAAATAATTGCCCAATTGATTTAATTATTAATTCAATCTTTTGAAATTGATTGACTTTGAAAATAATGACCGGATCAATAATAATCGCTGAATTTTTCAAAACATTCAATCATCATCTGCTTAAAAGTTGAAGACATGATTACATTATTACCCATGAGGTTTGGTACAAAAAACGTTTTCCTCTTCCAATTTTGAAAACTAACGCTAAAGCTCCTATTTAGAAATTATGTCAGCTAAATTTAGCATGGTTTTCACATTCAGGAATTGTAATAGTAACAAAACGATCTCTTCGTTAGATAGTGTTTTTGTTAATTAAATATAATGGCACAAAGGGTAGAAATTAATGTTTTGAAAACCGGACTGGCTGGTTGGACTGGTGACCCGCATTCTTTCCAGTTCGGTTTAATATTTTCAACTATTCACCAAATCTTTAATTTGACCACCAATGAATGAGGGCTATCAAGTTCCAGAGTTAGATGGGTTTTGTAGAGTGGAAGTTGATGGTTTAAGGGGTAGTGTTGAATTTAATTTTCGACGCCAGAATCAATCGAAATTTGGCCAGAAAAATCAATCAAATATGTGAGTCACAACAGACAAACGCGAGGGGGATACAAAGTGCCAGGGTTAGAGGAGTTTTGTAGAGTGCGTTAGGCCGAACAACCTGGTCCGTTGGCTGGGTGGCATCCTGGATCGGGTTTTTGAACATTGGTAGAAATATATTTTCAATGACCGGTTGATGGTTTTGATCAAACAATTCACAATTTTTACATTTTAGAATTGGTGTAGTACCAAAAAGAACATTGGTTGGCTAAATTTTTTGTTGAAAGTTTCAACTGTTTGGCCCAAGTTGTCAGTGATTTATTCAAAATATCATTCTTACCACTTGATCCGTTACATTTAACTAATAAAAACGTCATTCAAGGGCGAAAACATTAAGTTTTTCAAAATTATGGGGAAGCAATGGTACCTTGCCAAACCTTGGGGGTGGCACAGTAGAAGCCAAAGTTAGCATAATTATTGACGTCACTTTCAAGTCTATTTAATAATTGACTATATACAAATAATAATTAATTTGTTGACACATTAAACTATATATATATATATTATATATTGTCTAAAAATTCAAAATTTGTCTCAACTACATGGAAGTTTTCTCTTTGAAATTATATAGACTAGTTGCATCCCAATTGACCCAGAAAATAAAATAATAATAATTAAAAAAAACAAAAAAGAAAAGAATTTGAAATTTTTTGTAATTTTTTCTTTCTGGGTATTTGAATTTAAATTTCCTTTTTCTGATTTTGATTTGGTCAAACCCTTCTTCCTCCGCCATCTGCTCCGATAACTCAATTGCTGGCTTCAAATGAAGCTTTCACACATTAAATTATGATAGTTACACACTTCTAAGAAGACATGAGTCATTGTACCTCTCATATAAATATCTATCCAGAGTGTCCACAAACACCAACAAAAAATCCTTTTCTTTTTAAGGTGAAGAGTTTTTTTTTTTGGTATCCAAGGTTGTTCGGGTCAGTTTGTTTTAGTATTTTGAATAGGATTTTTGATATTTTCAGAGTTAGATAGGAATAACGAGATCAAATTTAAAAATTAACCAAAACACCCTCTAGATTTGTTAAATAATAAACACCCCTGTAATAAAAATTACAAAAACACCCCTACTCACCCATTAAATTCCGACAGCCAACCACCACCGTTGGAGGGTGGCCGGAGTCAACGTATCGGCTCACAACTGGCTGGATCTGGCCGGTCGTGTGCCGAGATGCTCTTTTCCAGCCAGATCCACTGTGGATTTGGTCGAGAAAAGACCAGATCTACGGCTAGATCTGGCCATGTTTGGTCATCAACGACAGCCAAAGATATGACCATTGTTGACGTCCAGATCTTTGGGTGTGGATCTGACCTTTTCCGGCCAGATCTACGATGAATCTGGTCAGAAAATGATAGATTGATGCACTATCGACAAGATCCAGTCGATAGTGTGCCATTATATCAGATTCTGACGACCTGACACATGTGGGTGAGTGGGGGTGTTTTTGTTAATTTTTAAACTTTTTTCTAGTGGTGTTTAATTAAATTAATAAACTTAAGGGGTCTAAAAAATTAAATAAAATATAATAGTATTTCATAAATAATGAAACAAACAGTTATTTTGAGAATATGACTGAAAATAAGGTAAAAAATAATGAAACAAATAGACCCTCAACTATTTATCTGAAACCTTAAAGTTAAGGATCAGATAAACCTCTACTGACAACCTCTTATTAATAATCGAGAAGGTGAAGAGTTTATTTAATATCTCACAGCATTATTTGTGTCAACGAGTTTTAGAAACTCATGCTCGATGTTTATAAATTAAAGTTGATGTCGCTAATAACATAGGATGTGACATTTACTAAGCTTAAGTTTCCGGAAGGATGAATAAAGGAGAATGAAAACATAATCCAGACATTTTGACATCAGAAATTAAATTTTCTGGGTTTTTCTTTAAGTCATGATTAAGAACAGAGGGATAAAGATTTGGGGTTTTTTAATATCTGAGCCATGGCATTGCACTCTATCAGGCATTCCAATTCCTGTAAATTTCTGATTGGCTGCCTCGGGAGTAAATTGAGAAAGTGTTATTACTACTAGTTTTGGTAGAGAGGGCATGCAAGAAAAACAAAGATAATAACAATAAAAACAGAACACTGCATAGAATTTACAATTTAATTGGTCAGTGACAGAGTAAAGAGTAAAATATGATCAAAGTAGGACAGTGATTTAATTACTTGGCTCAAAGTTGAACTTCTGTGCAGTTGTGTATATACTGTTTTATGGGTTAATAATGATCAGAACAGGTGTTTTACATGCTCAAAATTGACCTGCTCGAATGTCTCTATCCAGTTGATCAGCATTATGGGTCCCAGGAAGCTCTCTGAAATCATCATTGAAGATAGAATATGCACTGCAGGGATTAGGAACAAAACATAAGTTTCTCCTGGAAAATTCGGTGTTATCAATTTTGTTCAACAAGGCACTCATTTCAATTAAGAAAAAAGTGCACAGATTAAAAACAGGAAAATAAGTTTCTCCTGGGAAATTCAGTGAACGATCTCATCCAACAAGGTAATCATTAGAATAATGGAAAAACCACATTGGATACTACAAGAAATTGAAGCATAAACAATTTAAAAAGCAACCAGTTTGAAAACATAGGAAAGAATCAAAGAAGATGAAGAAAATTAAACGAAGATAAGAGTCAGTTTGGTAAACTGACTTTGCTCTAACTTCTAATTCACTGTCAGCTGTAACAAAAGCAGTTGAACAATTCATAAACCATGCTTTTAGAAGCGCTATGAGTTTTGAAAGTGCATTTGGAAAATTCTTATTGTCTAATGCTAGTGACTATGTACAGAGACTAAAATAAACACGATGCCCCACCAAAAAAAAAAAAAAAAAAAAGAAGGAAAAAAAAAGGAAATCATAAACTATTCGTAAATAAAATAGCACAAGGATTGTAAAATCAAATTTCAATAAGTTCTATAATCCATAACTTTTTTTTTTTTTTCACATGATTTTGTAATAACAATTAAACTTCAACTACAGTTCATTAAATCAAGAGTATGCCAATTTCCCCATTAGGTTATACCTTAGGTCTCCAGGTCGTCGCTGTCCAAGATTCAAGAAAATGATAGCAAAGGCTGTCCCAAGTATCTGAATAAAAAACAGTAACAAGGAATTGCAATATCAAATCACTTTCCAACAAGTGATCCAGGGAAATGCGAAGACATATAATGCAAAAGACAATGATCATTAAAGTTCATCCTGTTAAATAACCTGCAGGCTTGCAAATCAAACAATTCAACACAATTGGTAATGACACAGATCTTTTTCACTTCTATGTACCGAAAACAAGAAAAATCAAACAATACAATAAATCAAAGACTACAATCCTGATCAACTCAAACTAAGCTTTGTTAACAAGATACCATAAGAAAGAAAAAAACTGATTTTTCAACACAAAAAAAAAAGAAAAAAGAAAAAAAGCTTAATTATTTTTAATTGTAAATTTAGTGTGGTCTAATTCTTCCTAGGCCAAGCAAAAAGCAGACAAACAATTCATAAAATTGGACAAACACTGAACTGAAATCTGTATTGACTTTTATATACTAAAAACATCTTAAAACAAAGTAATATTAAATTATTAACAGTGTTATTATGCGTTCATAAATAAATGAGAGACACTTACATATAAAGGTCCAAGATCCCATCGATGTGCAATAGGTGCAAAAATAAACCATAGAATGATAATAGCCCACACCTTTAGGCTGAGTGAGAAAATTGCCATCAGAAGCATATCTATCAAAGAAACACAAAGGGAAAGGCATTAAGCAGATTGCTGTTTTTATTTTTCACAAAATACTATAATCTAGAATAATCGGCAGATTTTTTTTTTTTAAAATATAACTTCAATTAGATGGTTACCAGGAAGCTTTAACTTATTATGTAGGAAAAAATAAAGCCTCCTCTTCCACTGGCTTGTTGATTGTGGGAGTTGAAACTTCTAGACATTCACAAATTGACGAATTAGTTAAAAAAAAAAGTCAACCAAGAGATGTTTGAACATTAAAGTGGTATCCAAATTCATAATGTTACTAGCTAATTCTATTACCATATCTAAATCATCATCATCGATATAAGTATCATCATGAAGATGTTTGGCAGGTGCCTTTGGTTTGACAGCAGCGATCACGCAGTCTTGAAAATGTGGGTAGAAAGGTACAATAAATTAATGGGCAAATGCCAACAGACACAAAAGAAAGATTTTCTCAGAATCTAAAACAATCAATTATAGGAACTGAATATGCTTACAGTAACTATGACATGGAGCTTCTCTACAATATAACTTGGCATACAGTTGTGATTCATGTTATATTCATATATATGACTCAAATTGAAACCAAAAACATGAATGTCTAATTTACCAATTATAGATTTTTTATTTTTGTTTTTATTTCTACAAGTTGAATTACAGTGGCAAAACAATTAGGTTTCTTCCCCGATTTCAATGCGCAAATTTCATTGACCTGATCCTTACCTTTGCTTTAAACTAAAAACACTACCTTCCCTCTTTAAAATATCGCTAACCTTCTCTACTGTTATGAAGTCTCTGTTTAATTTAACGATTAATTTGAAAAACATATTTGGGAACTCTCGTAATGTTAAGAAAAATTCACTGGGACGTCCCTAATGTTAGGAAATTTTACATACATTCTTTAACGGCAGGAGAGGTCAATACCGTCTTAAAAACAGAATGGTTCTGTTTATTTTCAAGGCAAAGATGAGGGAGGTCAAATAAATTTATGCATACTAATTTATATTAATTTGCTCAACAGTTTATTGATCTTCTGAAATGGAAATATTAATATTTCTTCCTAGAACAAGAATCTTAACAAGCATTGACAAAAAAACAAAATCCCAAAAGTATAAAATCTCCGCTCAGTATAGAATATTACAAGAAGATATGCATGTGATATCTTTATAAAAATCAAATGAGCAATCAGAACTGGCAGAACTCTATTTATCTACTTTTTATTTTCTGAGCAGTATTTGACCTTATACTACTTGTTGCCTTATATTTTAACCTTAAACAGATATCAGAATACTTCATGATGAAAGCTTTTGTAGTTGAATGGGGTAAACAAAATGATGAATATGGAAAATGTTTAGGGCTATACTCAAGTTTTGAAAAAAAAATAGCAAGAAGGTTAAGACTTCAAGATGGCAACAATGACAAGTCTCTTTATGTTTGACAATTGAAATTCGATAGCCAGATTATGGAGCTAAGTAAAAGTGTAAAATGAGAGTTTGTTCTTCTCCTTAAAGAAAAATAGAGAATGCTAACTGGGAGCATTATTAATAACCGAGAAAATTAAAAAGGCTGGGATCTTTTTGAAGAGTATCAAGGTAGGGAAATCTTGTTGAGCATTTTTTATTAAAATTTTTTATAGGTCTAGGGTTGAGGAGTCAAAGGAACCTGTAAATAAGAAACCTGTGGCTAATTAATAAGTGTAACAAACTAACTATCGTGCTGAAAGTTAGAAAGAAGAGATAATGAAGAAAGGGAGAAGAAGGAGAGAAAATAGTGGAGAGCAATAAGGTAGGCAACTTTGCTTTCTAATAAAATATAATCAAACTATACTTTAGCAGAAAGAGTACATAAAAAAATCATCATTTGGTAATTCCAAGGACATCCGAACCAAAATTGAATAATATATCCGCCTCTCTTAGAAATGAGTTTGGATTTTGGTTCTGTACATTCAATGGGACTATAACCCAACCCCCTTTTAGTATACCGAAAGGTTAGCAATATAGCTTGACCATATTAAAAAAATATAATAGACAACTATACAGACCTCAATTTGTTCTGAGTTTCATAATTCTGTGAAATGGTCAGTATACAAAATTATCTAGCTCTCCTAGTGCCAGGCTAGTTTGCTTAGAATTAAAATGTCAAGAAGAGGAGAGCTTTACATGAGAAAAATTTCAGTATATGTGTAACATATTGTATCAAGGACTAATTGAAGATAGAAACAATACCTCCATTACTGAGTTTGAGATACACTTCGTCCTCGTCTTCTTTGTCAACCAAAACGTTCCCCCGCAAAATAAGCCTCAAATTCTCTATTGGTAAATGTTTACTTCTGGCAACCACAGTCCTCAAATCACACACCTAAATACATAGAAACAATACAAGCACACACAAGAATTAACACACAATAGAATCTTCAAAATCTTAACCATCTAAAATCTTCTCCTTTACTAACAATATATAGTTTGATCACTGTCAAAACCATCCAACTTATCTATGTTCTGAAACCTCTGAAATTGATTTAATATCAAAAGCAGAAATGATGGAAAGATATTCTGCTAATATATCTTTGCCATAGCTAGACATTTTCCAGAACATGTGAACTAGTCCAAACACCCTAACGTAAAGATAAGAAAAATAATATCTAGTGGCAAGGGAGTTTTATGAGGGTGAAAAAACATAAAGGTATCTATCTCGTTAAAGAATATGATCAATTCATTTGAATGTTAAAACTCATATTGTTTCACTTCAAAGTACATTGATATAAGCCGAAATATTTCTACTCATAATTCTTGTTCAATTTCCCAACTGGAGACTATGTTCAACCAAAAACAACATTGAGCTGGTTGAGTCCCAGATAGGCTGGTAATGGGTGACTGCTTCTCTGTCCATCATGAGAATGGTTACACACCAAAGTATCCAACAAGCTTCATCAACCTTCTGCCCCTGAACAAAACTATATCTTCTGCCTGACGGGTACAATATATATATAGCCGGGTAAAATCACAAGAATAACGCTCTATCTGGAGTGCATTAACGTCAACTCTCTACAAAACCAGCAAACTTTTAACAATATCTCCAACCTGATTGTTACGAATAGCTTGCTTCAGGAAATAAGCCTAAAATAATCTAATAATAGCCCATCCCCACACATTTTTACTGTTGTTCAAAAATTCAAAACATGAAAGCAGGAGCTACCAACTGTGAAAACTCTAGGAACTCATTTTGCCAAGCAAAATATCTTACAAAAAAAGAAAACCCAATTAGCTCCGCTTATTTAATCTACAATACGTGTCATAAAAAGGTACACATGCCAAAATGGAGATATTCAGCCTTCAAAAGTTAAAAAAGAAAATCCAATTTCCACCTTCAAAAACTTTCTAGGGAAAATATTTTCCCAAAACTAATTTCCATTTGAACAAATGGATCCATATAAAAAATTGGACATATATCTACTAATTAATTTAATATAGTTCGATTCAAAAATATATTAATTAGCACTTAAACTGCGAAGTAATAATAATCATGAACAGATCATAATTTCATAAAAGCGATCTGGGTATTTCAATTATGTTAAAGAAAGGATGAATTACGCATAAATTAAATAAAGTAGAAGAAAGGAAACGTACTTTGATTGAAGAGGCGACAAGAAGGCGAGAGGGGCGAGCAGGGCCGACGGTTTTGATGGTGATCTCCACATTATTATCGTCATCTCTTCGTTTATTGCTGTCATGATTGGTCTCCTCTACGATCTCTCCCATGACATTTGATCCCATTCCTCACTCAAACAATTGGATCAACCGCAAGAAAGCTGAAATAAAATAATCGCTACCTTGAGTAAACGAGGGAAACTTTGCAAACTTGATGACCTTGAAGGGGTTTAAAAGAATTAACCACTCCCACTAATTTTGTCGCGTGAAGACAAAAATACCCTTATCTTCGTATGACGCTCCTTTTTTATACGTCATTTTAAAAGTTTATAGTAAAAAAAAAAATTAAAAATATTGTTAATATAGATTATTAGACTTATGTTTTATCTAAGTTTAAGCATATTATAAGATAAGCATCTTAAAAGGGGTTATNGAAAGCTGAAATAAAATAATCGCTACCTTGAGTAAACGAGGGAAACTTTGCAAACTTGATGACCTTGAAGGGGTTTAAAAAAATTAACCACTCCCACTAATTTTGTCGCGTGAAGACAAAAATACCCTTATCTTCGTATGACGCTCCTTTTTTATACGTCATTTTAAAAGTTTATAGTAAAAAAAAAAATTAAAAATATTGTTAATATAGATTATTAGACTTATGTTTTATCTAAGTTTAAGCATATTATAAGATAAGCATCTTAAAAGGGGTTATTATTATAGATTATTAAGTAATCGTTTAATTTTGTTACCAATTTATTGTTATAAAAGTATTATTTACCTCTTTATTAGAAAGATTTTTGGTTTTTTATTAGATTGTTTAATAATCTAAAAGAAATAATGAGGGTAGATAAAATTAAGTAATCTCCTAGAGTTTATATAATAATCCATTTGAAGGGTAGATAAAATATATATAATCGTAAAAAATATTCACGAGAAGAGTATTATAATATATGAAAGAGATCTTAATTTCAAATTTTCATGACTACTAATAAGAGGTAGTCATTGAAAGCTTACTTAATCGTTAACTTTAGAGTCTCGAAAGACTAGTTAAACCCGGACACCCGGATTAAAAAAAAAAAAAAAAAAAAACCTTTGGGCGTATTGGACAGTAACATAAGAGTCCCATTTATTTGATTTCCTTTCACTTTCAACCCTCTTTTCTCCATATACATATTTTGATTATGAAACAACCCAGTAAAATGAAAACATATCAATGGACTCCTCGTTCGCACGTCATAAGAATGACATCACCCATTCAATTAATCAAAAGCTAATTTGAAAGCAGTTATTTGTATTCTTCCCTCAGTGTTTTACAACTTACATTCATGCAAGAGTGTTTTGTATATTCAGTTATTTGTATATCACTCAGTGTTTAGCAAGTTACATACATGAAAGAGAGCTACCATTGTTGCACAGTGAAAGATATTACGAATGGAATGAGCAAGAGATTTTATTATACTGTACACAGTTTGTTTGGACATATTTTACGATGATATCAAATGGAAACAGGAGAATCCGAGAATATCCCGATTGTATGCTTTACAACAATGTGCAGAAAAGAAAAAGCAAGCTCGGTTTGTCGTCGGTGCCGCCGATGAAGTGATATTAATTCGTTCTTTAAGGGACAGGCAAACGACAAACATGGCTCTCTGAACCCAGAAGCTCCAGCTCTATATACAAATATGTACATACGCACAGAGGACAATTCAGAGAAAACAGGAGAGATTGAACAAAACTCAAAACATGAAGTTAGATTTCCTCTGGTTGATTTTGGCTATTTTTCTTGGCACTTACCTTGTCTTGTTTGGTTTTCTCAGGAGAGTAAACGAATTGTATTATATTTGCATGTTAAAGTTGTGACAAGCGACGTTATCTCCCTCCACCTGATATGGGATGGCCTCTGCTTGGAAACATGGTAACATTCATCCGAAGTTTTAAGTCCAGTCACCCTGATAACTTCATCTGCAACTTAGTTGACAGGTTAATTAAATTCTTAGTGCTTGTTTAATTGTAATCATAAGTGCTTAATCAACATCTAAACATCTCTTAATTCTTGAGTTCATACAGATATGGAATGTAGTGACTAATTAGGGCTCTCAACTATGCTAATCAAATCAATCAGTGAGCAAACACAATCTTATCAAGCAATAGAATCAGAGATTAATTAAAGCATGAAACAAATCAGAAAAAACAATTGACACAGGGGATTTATAGTGGTTCGGCTAAGGAAGCCTACATCCACTCTTCAAGGCACACTATAGGATATTTCATTAATCAAGAGAACCAAAGGTTACAAAGAGTAAACAATCAAAGAATAACAAGAAAGAACACACCCGTTTCAACCCTCTCTCCACTCCCTTTGTATTCGCACAAAATGGTCAAAAATTTATACATATTAAGACCCCATTGATCATCTTCTAGCTGTCCAGAAAAATCTGCAGTTTGTTAGAGCAGAGGAGCACTAGAATCTTCTGTCGTTAGGGTTGAGAAGGAACCAGAGAAGGCGTGAAAAGAGTTATTCATTCTGTTGCAACAGAATGAAATTCGTGTGCCAGATAAGGCACTTAAGTTTGATAGTTGAAACACTGCCGTATTGGTTTAATTTGAAGCTGACTTCTTTGACTGATGTTGACTCCACCGTGGCATACACAAGCCACATCATCATCACATGGAAGAACATGTATCTACAAAGCCTACCTGTTTGGAAGCCCAAGTGTCATAGTTTGTACCCCTGAATCCTGCAGACGGGTCCTGATGGACGATGAGAAATTTGGAGTTGGTCATCCTGAATCAATCAAGCAATTAACATGAAAAAGATTATTTCATAGCATTTCAAGTGCAGAACACAAACGTCTTCGCAGATTAACCACAAGTCCAATCAATGGGCACGAGGCATTAGCCATGTACATTGGGTATATTGAAGACATTGTGGTTACTGCATTGGATGAATTTGCCAGTAGAAACAAGCCAATTGAGTTCTTGACAGAGATGAGGAAGGTTACTTTCAAAGTCATTACTTATATCTTTCTGGGATCCGGCTGTGATTCAATTAATCTCGAGTCATTAGAGAAATATTATACTGATTTGGTTTACCGATTCATGCCTCCAGCCTTTAACATCCCAGGTCTCCCTTTTCATAAAGGACTCAAGGTAAAGTTTTATCAGGGAATTATTAACATTTGTTTACTGAAAATATGAGCTTCATCATGGACTTTTTCTTTGCTTACCAGGCAAGAGAAATGTTGGTGAAGATCTTCCAGAGACTCTTGGATGATAGAAGGGCAATGAGGGGAAGTGACAATGAGAAAGAATCAAAGAGAGGCATGATTGATTTGATGATGGAAGTTGTAGATGAGAATGGTGAGAAGCTGGAGGATGAAGATATTGTAGATATTCTTCTACTATTCTTGTTAGCTGGCCATGGAAGTTCTGCACTTACTGCAATGTGGGCGATAGTTCACCTGCATCATCATCCAGAAATGGTGCAAAAAGCCAAGGTCGAGACTTGGAAATTATAATGAACTTGCAAAGTAAATAATCAATACATAAAGAGAGACACTGCATTTTCAGATCATAAAGTTGTTCTTGTTAATTTTTCTGGGCAGGAAGAGCAAGAGGAGATTATAAGGAGAAGATCCTCAACACAGAAAGGATTAAATCTCAAGGAAATTAAACAGATGGAGTATCTTGCTACGGTAATAGATGAAACATTGCGGAGAAGCACTCTCTCATTTGCAATATTTCGTCAGGCAAAAGTAGATGTTGCCATGGAAGGTTAGTGAAGTCACTCAATGCTTCATATTAATTGTCCTTCTTTTATTATGCGTCACAAAAGGAGAATTACATAATTATTTTTGCAGGTTATATTATACCAAAAGGCTGGAAAGTTTTTGTGTGGAAAAGAGGTGTTCATATGGACCCTGAAACTTACCCAGAACCAAAACAATTTGATCCCTCAAGACGGGAAGTAACTTAGAACACAATGATATTTAAAAAAATCTCTTAAATTATTTCTCGATCTATAAACTTATCGATGTTATTTACCACGTCAACTCATCATTTACTAGCAGAATCATGTAGCGAAGCCAGGAGCTTACAAATCCTTTGGAGCTGGACCAGGATTTGCCCTGGAGCTGATCTAGCCAAGCTCGAAATTTCCATTTTCACTACAAGAAAAAGTACTTCTTGTAACCAATTTTTTTGTAATTAGTGTAACAAATCCCACATTGAAAGCGTATTAGGGAGGTCTTGGGCTTATAAATAGGAGGAGTCCCTCTACCTAATAGGTTAGCCTTTTGGGTGTGAAACTCCCAGCCCGTGACAAGTGGTATCAGAGCAGACCCAATCCGTCTTTCGATGTCCCGCCAAGCGTCCACGCAGGGGCGTCCACGTGTGATTGTGGGTCTACACGAGAGTGAGGTGGATGGATAGGCAGGGGGCCCCACCTGTGACGAGGGCGTCACAGGATTAGGTGGGGGAGAATGTAACAAATCCCACATTGAAAGCGTATTGGGGAGGTCTTGGGCTTATAAATGGGAGGAGTTCCTCTACCTAATAGGTTAACCTTTTGGGTGTGAAACTCCCAGCCCGTGACATTAGGCAAAGATAGTTGCAGATATCCCACATTTAGTAACTAAATTCCAATTAATCGGCCAAAGGAGAATAAAATTCTAGGGCCCATTTATTCTTGTCTTTGGCATCTAAAATTAATATTCTGCGAATAATTTGATTTGTTGCCCAAAATATCACATTAGCGGCTAATTTATTTGGTTGCCAATTCTTGTGCGAACACAATTAGCAACTACAACAAGAGATTCCGCAACTAAAATTATGGTTACAAAAAACAATTATTTGTAACTACTGAATAATTGCTAAATTAGATGCAAATATTTATTAATTAATTTGTAACTATTTTTATTTGTTACAAAATAATACAATTACGAAATATCCAAGCTTCTGATAATAATTATAAAGGGCCTAGGGTACATTTGACAACTAATTATTTTGTGTATATTACAAATAGTTGCAAAAACTCATGTCTAGCAGCTAAAATGTATTTAGCGTCTAAGCTGGGGACTATTTCAACTAGCAATTAGAGACTAACATCGCCAAAAAAAAACTTTCCGCGCTTAATCAACTTTTTAGACGCCCATACTTTCTGCGACAACGATTCTGCAATTACGTGGCGACTACGAAATTTAAACGCACAAGATATTTAGCGTCTAAATTTTACTATCGACGTCTAATTTTGCTAGACGCTGAAAGCCATTTTTCTTGTAGTGAATTTCCTACATTATTTTGTGCTTAACTAATATATATATGCTTAATAATCATATACTTTAAATGATCTTTTCATCAGTTAAAATTTTTGACATATTGTAACATGACCTTAGTTACCAAATAAGATCATCCAGCAGTAAGTCCACATAAAGAAATCCAATCAACTTCAGAGCCCATTTCTGACCATAGGTTTTAGGCCCAGCAGACACAAAACCTTAAAACAATACTATTTAATCCAAAGTTTGAATTAATGTACAGATAACTATCATATGTATTAAGATTTAATAGCTCTATTCCCACATTTATATTTGATTCATGGACTGTGGTTGATGAATTTCTCCTTAATATTTTATAGAGTGCGTTTGTTTTATTATTTCACCAATATTCTATCCTTATTCCAAATACCAATGTGCGTTTGTTTCCTTATTTTCAAAATCATATCCTAAACTAATTTTTTTAAACCCCTTAGATTTGTTAATTGACAAAGACACCCCCAACAAAAAAAATTATAAATTAACAAAAACACCCACACCCACCCATAATTGTCAGATTCTGGCAACCACCATCGATGGTGGCCAGAATCTGTCACAACAGTGCACTGCCGGCTGGAACTGGTCGGTAATGCGTCGATCTGACCTTTTCCGGCTAGATCCATCGTAGACTTGTTCAAAAAAGGCTAGATCTGATCGTCAAAGACAACTATATCCTTGGCCGTCACTGACGGCCAGATCTTGCCTTTTCTGACCAGATTGGTGCACGATCAGCTAGATCTGGCCGAGCGTACGCTGTAACGCCAGATTCCGACAATGGTGGTCGGAATCTGGCAAGTGTGGGTGAGTGGCGGTATTTTTGTTATTTTATAAATTTTTTATATATTGGGGTATTTAGTTAAATTAGCAAGCCTAGGGGTTTTTTTTGTTAATTTGTAAATTCTACCTCGTAATAATCACCCAATTCTACCTACAAATAATATTTCAAAAATACTACTCAAAATAATAAAATAAACACACCTTATTTTATTTTTTAATATTAATTTATAATTATAATCTAATATTGGTATGAACTAAACTAGAATATATGTCATTTCCCTCAAACAAACATCAAAATTAGTTCCTAGTGATTAATGGTCCCTCTGTTGATCTTGAATGTGACTGAACCTTCATGTCATTTTTTTTTTTTTATTCTCATATACTTTACTCACAATTATCCATTTTGAATTAAAAAAAAAATGGCATGAAGCAATTACAGATAAAAATAAAAGCGAAGTAGAGAAGGACTAATCAGGATGAGGCTTTCGTTACCCACCATTCATACAAGATAAAACCAGCCACGAAAACCTTCTTTTATCTCCTACATTTTCCTATTTGCTTGGAGAGTTTAAGCTTCAGATACTTCAGCTCAAGATAGTAAGCATGGCGCTCAGAATGTGGGCTTCTTCTACTGCTAATGCACTCAGACTTTCTTCTTCTTCTTCCAAAACTTCCCTTTTTCCTGCTGCCTTTTCCCTCTCTAGATGCTTCTCTTCCGGTACTTCATTTTTCTTTCTTTTTTGTTCCTTGATGTTATCAGAATGTTGTTGACATGGGGTTGATTTCATTTGTCTTCTTGTAGTTTTGGATGGGTTGAAGTACGCGTCTTCACATGAGTGGGTGAAGCATGAAGGCTCAGTGGCCACCATTGGCATCACTGATCATGCTCAGGTTTTTTTCTGTTCTTTTTTCTCTGTGGAGATATTCAGGTTTATAATTATAAGAACTTGAATGTTTTTTGTTTTTGGTTTGCGTGATTACAGGACCATCTTGGGGAAGTAGTGTTTGTGGAGCTGCCGGAACCCGGTGGCGCAGTCAACCAAGGCGGCAGCTTTGGGGCCGTGGAAAGTGTGAAAGCAACCAGTGATATTAACTCTCCAATCTCTGGTGAGATTGTTGAGATTAACTCAAAGCTTACTGACTCTCCTGGCTTGGTAATTCTCCCTTTCAATTTCTTATTTTTTCATTATCCTTAGCAATATAATGTAGGACCATATTTTGAATTGATCTGTAGCTAATTTTGATGGTTTGAAAAATGAAGATAAATTCAAGCCCATATGAAGAAGGATGGATGATAAAGGTGAAGCCTAGCAGTCCATCAGAATTGGAGTCCTTGATGGGTTCAAAGGAATACACAAAATTCTGTGAGGAAGAAGATGGTCATTAGTATATTATTAAGATATGTTCAACTTCCAAACATTTTCCTCTTCTTTGTTTTAAATTACTACCTGTTTGTTTGTGTTGTCATTTTCATCTTCATGAAACTAAATTTAATAAATCCTTATGATCATTATTAATTTCAGCTTAATGTGTTTTTCCTCTTAACTAATCTTGAGTGATTAAATCCTTAATTTCATGTATAGCTTGGAGAAAAACTGAAAAAGAATTATTTATTATTCTCAAACTTCATACAAGTAAATGGCTATATTACTTGACTACATAAACGAATTAAATTTCTGAGAAATGTGTGGATGTTCATGATCTGAGTTTAATTACTTTTGCAAGACAGTTATCTGAAGGCTTTGGTATTGGTAAGTACACAATTCGGCAACCTGGATTAAGTTGTTCAAGCCTGCAATTAACAGAAAGAAAAGAGAAAAATTAGAGAGATAAAATAGTACTTCTAAATTCTGTCTAACTTATAATAAAAGTAATGTAAAACTCACTTGTAGTTAAGGAGAAAATAATGAAGGAAAATGGAGACTTCAAGCTTGGCTAGATCAGCTCCAGGGCAAATCCTGGGTCCAGCTCCAAAGGGAATAAAAGCTCCTGGTTTAGCTACATGGTTCTGCATTCAAGTTAAGAAAAATTAATAACATTGAGATTGCTTTTTGTGTGTTTGATGAATTTGGTGTCCCCCTTACCTCCCATCTTGAAGGATCATACTGGTTTGGGTGAGGGTAATTTTCAGGATCCATGTGAACACCTCTGTTCCAAACCAAAACTTTCCAACCTTTTGGTATCGTATAACCTGCAAATCAATAATTTTCTTTTACTCTTAGACATGATAGAATTAAAAAGAGCAAAAGGTTAGGGGGGAAACTTTAAGCATTCCGTGAGTAACCTTTGATGGTAACATCTACTTTTGCCTGGCGAAAATTTGCAAATGAAAGATTGGTTCTTCGCAATGTTTCATCTATCACCTATATCATAAACAATAAAAAACAATGAAAAATATGCAGCTTGTTGCAGACCATGATTAGACTAAGCAAGTTAGTTTTACCTTAGCAAGATATTCCATTTGTTTAATTTCGATGAGATTCAATCCTTTCTGTGTTGAGGGTCTTCTCTTCATAATCTCCTCTTGTTCTTCCTGCCAAGTTGGATTGCTTCACAAGTTAACACAATCTTTATCACTTAAAACTAAAATTTGTGTAGACAATCCCAAACCTTGGCTTTCTGTAGCATTTCAGGATGCTGATGCAGGTAGAGTATCGCCCACATTGCAGCATGCGCTGAGCTTTCATGACCGGCTAATAAGAACATGAGGAGTAAATCTTTGATATCTGCATCCTCCAACTTTTTACCATTCTCATCTTCCACTTCCATCATTAAATCAATCATGCCTCTCTTCGCCTTCTGCTTATCTTTACTTTCCCTCATTGCTCTTCTTTCATCTAGAACAGTTTGAAGGATCTTCAACAACTTATTTCGTGCCTGGTCAGAAAGAAACATGAGGTTAAGCTCATAGATGTTATCTTCTTCAACCTTACATCGAAAATGACAATGAAAACCTTTTAACAGCTAGCAGTAAAAGGTTGATATATTCCTAATTAAGATCTACCTACCACCAATTATTGATAGAAATGGCATGGTTGAAAACATCAATATTGCCGAAGTTTATTGTTAAAAGCAAGTAAAGAGATTTGTCCCCTTGAGAGTGACTTGCAAGAAAGCACATTGTTATTCGGCCCAAAATAAATAAAGCCTCGTGGTAAACGCCAGTTTCATTCAAGAATTAAATAAACATTTTGCAGAATCTTGATTATTCCTTGTGATGGTATTATCTATGAATCAGTATGACCAAATTAATTTACCTTGAGTGCTCTGTGAAAAGCGAAACCGGGGATGTTAATGGCAGAAGACTTCAATCCGTAAAGTATATCAGTGTAATATTTCTCCACTGATCCAAGAATCGAATCACTATCGGATCCCAGAAAGATGTGAGTGATGACTTTGAAAGCAATCTTCCTCATCTCAGTCAAGAACTCGATTGGCTTGTCGTTTCTCGCCCATTTATCCAATGAAGTAATCACAATGTTCTGGATGTACTCAATGTACATGGCTAGAGCCTCATTGCCAGTGATTGAACTTGTCGTCAGCTTGCGGAGTCGCTTGTGTTCTGAAACTGAAATGCTATGGAATGATTTTTTTCCTGTTAAATGCTTGGTTGAAGCAGGATAACCAAGTGCAAATTGCTCAGTGTCCATCAACACTCGTCTACACGTTTCTGGGGTGCAAACTATAACGCTCGGGCTCCCAAATAAGTAACTCTTATATATACCTGTTCGACCATATCTGTATCTCCAAAAGATCAGAATTATGAATAAGTGTGCATGCAAGACAATTGAAAGGGAGAGAACTTAAACAAACCTGTCAACTAAGTTGTAAATGAAGTTATCAGGATTACTGGATTTGAAAGCTCGCAGGAAAGACAACATTTTGCCGAGCACAGGCCATCCCATATCACCTGGAGGGAGAGCCCGCCGCTTCTCGTGACTCAACCTGAAACTAACATAATACCACTCGTTTATTCGGCTGAGAAATCCAAACAAGACACCATAAGTGCCAAGAAGAATTGCAAGAATCAGCCAAAATAAATCTAACTCCATATTTGTGGTGTTTGTTTATGAATGCAAGATAGTTGATCGCTCACATTTATATATATATGCAGCTTATTGTCTTCAATAATACGCGTATCAATAGCTAAAGAGTTGCTTGGTCCAAAGAGTTAGGTGAATAGCCAGTCTTCCATCTTTTCTTGTACTTCATTTTATAAGAATATTGCATCAGGGCAGCAATGACAGAATTTTGTAGTCTTTGACATGAAAATGTTTATAGTTGAATTTTTGTCTTTTGACATTAGTCGATCGACATAAACAATACCAAATTTTAAAAAAATTACACATGTCCATAGTAGAAAAGGGACTACATGTATGATGTCTTCTATTCATTTTTGGAGTATTGGTAAAGTCATTGACTTACAATTTATTAGTTCAGCGTGAGACGAGTAACAATGTTTTTTGAATTTAACTTCTTATATTATACATATAACTTTAAAATGTACAGCTATATATATTTGGTCATATCTCAAGATGAAGATTCTATTGGAGTTGTCAGCCAGTTCAACAATATCAGGTGATGCAGACACATACGGTGTCCCATTGGTGGTTTGGGCCTATCTCATGACGAGCCGTTATAGGATTTCTTTAAGTAATAAAACTCCTAATAGGATTTTGACTTAGTAAAATAGATCCTAGTAATATTAGGTTTTTCTTATTAAACCTAGTATATAAACATATTTTTTCTCTTGTATTAGTGATATAACAAATCATAGACAAATACATTTATTATAATAAGAGAGGTGATGAGATATTTCAATAATATTGATTCCACTGAAAATAGGCCAAATTTTGGATAAACTACGATAAATATTTGTTTGGTTTTGATTACTCTCCAGATTGTTTCATATTCCTGAGCAACGCAGGTAATTCATAATCACGCCACTTATGAATTATTTTTGAAGCTGAAACTTAAGCTAGTTCATGGAAGTTGAAGCAGTCATTTTTTCTTGAAATATTTTTGATAAATGGCACAGTTAGACTTGCATTGATTTATTTGTTAATATTTAGTTTATTGGACCTTAAAGTAAATTACAAATATAATAGGTGGTCACTTGGTGAGACTTAACATAAGATTTATGAGTAATTTAAAGTCTTGCCACCAAACCTCAAGCTAACTGGTTAGTTTATTTGATTCCTGACTTAACTAATACTACCGCGATGAGATCAATAAATTATGAATTCCCAGAAGGCCAGCAGTCCCAGTTCATAAATTAATATATCTTATAGTTATAGGACAATATGATTTGTAATTTTGCAGTAAATATCCTGGGATTAATCTTATTTACAAAGGGACGTTCTCCCACTTAAATAGTAGTGTCAAATTCACTCTTCTCAGTTTTGGCATTACTGGATGGATCTTTTCATTCACTTGAAGTTTTTACCAACATTTGTCACCATGCTTGCGATGCTGATTCCTGCGTCGTCAAGGACGTTTTACAATTTGATTTTAGTCTTTTATGAAGCAATTACTGCGTCGGAAAAGCACAGTTTTTCTGTAATGTCCTTCTCATATTAAAATTTTGTGCTTTGATTTTCGTAATTATGTTGAAAAGAATGATAATGAAGCAAGAGAAGCTATCAATAAGATAAGACAATGCTTTTAATTAAACTGTATTGATGCTTGATTTTAACATAGAAATGCTAAACGTGTTTAGAAGTCACACGTGATTATGAAAATATTTAGTTTAATAAAAGGTAAAGAACAACGTTTAAAGTGGTTCAAATGCTCAAAAACGAATCCTACGTCCATTGATATTTTATTAATGAGAGTAAAATTAGGTCGCTTTCAACGAGTTGAGTTACAACAGGAGAGAGGGTATACTATTCTAGTGTGAAATTAGCCAATCTCGCAAATGAGAGAGAAGACCTCTATTTATAATGGGACGAATCAAGGTAATGATTACTAAATCTACAAGTGGGGTGGATACCGTATCATTCTCTGCGTCCTATTGCTTATATGACCGAGTGATTTCCTCGATTTGTATAGAGATTGGACACGTGAGTGATTTCCAACCATCCGCTGGCATGACGTCCATCCACTGCACTAACAGGGACATGTCACTCACATCATTATGCGACGTGGTTGCGTCTGATCGATCGCTAAACTTCCAAGTTCTGATCACCCTATGTTGACAAGACCCTGTGTCAGCCCTACTCTTTCAGGCATAACAAACTGCTAGACCGGCTGCCGACTGCACTGAAGTAATGTGAGGCTGTTGAGCTTTACCGCCATTTGACAGAGTAGGAGAAAACAAAAAATAAGTATGTATATTGAGATTTATTTGGATGCTACTACTCAACTTGACCAACTTTTTTTGACAGATTTTACTCAAGGCTGGCCACCATCAATTTTATTATGCATATTTGTTTCCATGAATAATCATAAGTCTCATTGGTGCTAGTACGTAATTGGTAAAAAATGAAACTTAATGCTTTGTATTCTATAATCTATATATATATTTTTATAACCGGAGGTGTTCGGACCAATTTACATGCATTTCAATTAATCTTCTGAGACCTTAGAATTATCGATCAAGTACGAGTTCCAATGGTCACCTCTATTAGCAACTGTGATATTCTATAGAAAATTGTTTATCAATACATGCATATATTCAATGGAGTAGATTTGATGACCAAGTCTTTCCTACATTTCTTAAAAACTTAATTGGTTTAGCTGTAAAATTCATGCAGCAAGTTAACTAGGAAGACTAAAAATAATTCCTATGAGAGCCATTTTAGTAAAGTATTTTATTGAAATTAATAAATTCACGCAACTTAGTTTTAATATTGTCTCATCTCAGAATTTAATCCTAAAGTTTAAAAACAAATATGTAAAAGATTTAGAGTTAACGACATGTTCGGTGTTCCCATCCAAAAATGACCCATTGAAAATTTCATACCCACCCGTTTTTTAAAAATCCTTTTGCTACCCAAATATTATGTTTTTGGTGGGAAATACAATGATTTATGAAAATATCCTTAGCCTCTTCCATTGCCGACTGGGAGCTGGGTGCTGCAATTAATCGAGCAGGTGGTGTACGACCTTGGGCCAGCGAGGTTGGCGTGATCTGGGAGACAATAGTGGCCGGAAAATACACAACGCCAACAACCAATCAAAAGCCACGGATCCAGCACCCAAAACACTAACAATTTGCGGAGGAAACCGCTGCAAATCGCCACTGTCCCAAGGCGGAAAGAGTTAGACACAGGTGGCAAATGGCGTGCACGAAGGGTTCGGGGAGGGGTGGGTTTTGAAGAGCAGAGCGTAGGGAGTTGAATGGTGGTGGTAGGGGGCATTTTGGGTGATTAAATCGGCAAAATAAAAAAAATAAAAAAAAGGCCGAAAAGATGGAAAATCGCGCAAAATCTCAGGCAGCGATTTCAGGCGACTGACAGTTGCATTGAGCTTGGGGTGAACGAATTAAGGGTGAGAGAGGCTCGAGGAAGAGGATGGAGGAGGCAGTGAGTTTTTAGGCGGTGGTTTTTTACGCAGGGGATTCGACCGTGAAAGCGAAACAGAAAATCCGGCTACCGTCTGAATGGAGTGGTGGTGGGAAATGGTGAGTGATGACGACAAATGGAGGCTTGGTTTTCTAGACGAAGTGATGGGGATTCTGTGGGTGGTATCGGAAGTGATTTTGGATGCCGGATCTGCCAGAAACGAAAAAACCGCCAGCCTTTTCTCGCTAAGTGCGCCATCTCTTTTATTTCTCTTCCCCGCGACCAAGTATTTGTTAACCATTCTGCCTTTTACCCTTCCCACAACAAAAATTGCTAACCTTGGGTACTAAAAGGTATTTAAAAGTGGGTGGTATGAATTATCAATGGCTCTTTTTGGGGTGGGAGCATGTCGTTGACTCTAAATTTATTTTAAAAGAATACCATTTTTATCGGGAAGAAAACTTGAACCACTTACAAAACAAAAGTCTTTTAGCAGCAAATTAAAAATTGTGGCTTCATAAATTGATCCACACAAAACACAATATATCACAATCCAATTTATTAAAGAAAATTCAAAGCCCTTATTAACAATAACAGTAGAAAATCTGAAGTCAAGCACAAGCAATACTGGGGTTGAAGTGGCATATTCCGTAGCTCCCATTGCGCTCAAAAATGGCCATTTCTTCATCATCTCAAGTAATCAACGCTTCAATTCCATCGCCAGATCTCGTATCGGCCAAAGCAATTGTATTCTCACTATTTTGTTCACACTAACATGCCAAACGGTTTCCCCCAACCAAAATCAGTATCAACAATGGAAATTTGCACCAACTCGTACACTTGTAAACCGTCATCTCCCTATTGTTCTTGAAAAACTCTCCTCTCTCTTTTAAAGCTCCCAAAATGGCTAAATGACCTTCTTCCCCTTTAATTTATCAGCCTTTTCATTGCAGAAGTTGTTGAAAGCTTTTCTCATCACAGTCACCACTCGGTGTAGTTCCAAGTCATCCTTTTATCTTCTTCTACAGCACCATAAATGGCCAGACAAAGTTTCCGAAAGCGGTTTCAGGAACAGGAGGGTCATTCTTTTGCGGAGATTCACAGCCTGGAACAAAACTGATGGCCTACATGACTCTGATTTTGATCTGTTGGCGGCCATGGCGCATTTCATATGAGGGCGCACCAACTCAACTCTTAAGGATGGCGATGCATCGCTAGTAAAATGGTCATACACTTTATCCTTAGTTCCGCTATCTTTGATGCACTGAAACAAATCTCCTCAACGCAAAGTTCGCAGCTTTGATGTTCACTGAGCCGACATTTTTTGAAAATCATCTCTCGGGGGCAGAAGATTAGGCCCATGAAATCCGGGACAACTGGTTTGCAAAATAAGCACTAGCGTTTGTCCAGCTTCGAAGGAAAGTGACGAGGGCTGACATATCACGCATTGTGTAGTCAGAGAAAACTAATAGCCGCCCCACCGCAGGTGAAGCTAGTGAACTGAACGAGCAACATGCGCCATTGGAAAGCTCCACGTTGTGTAGTCATG